AAATAATAACAAAATCAGCACCTTTCTCCTTTCAAACAGATCCTACAAAGTAAACAACAGACTTCAGTCAATTCAATTTAAAGCCCGGTTTGACAACACCAATTTGCTTCAGTCTAAATGGCTACCTTTGCTCTAAAAACCGTTTCGAACACAACAATAAATCTTCACTGAAATCACGGTCTAATTTCGTAAAAGCCCCGTCTCGCTTTGCTAATTAATATGAATGGCATTTGCATCCGGCTTTTTCTCGCGTAGACCATTTCCAACTATTGTTTTGCAAAGATCCTCACAATTTATTCCTATTTTTACTCGACTGCATCGCTCCGGGAAGGTTATTGAGAACAATAAAACATCTGCTTTTTTGGTTATGAAATGAAAAGCTTTTGTGTTCTATAGAATTCTGGGACAGGAAAAATTAGAACGATTGTTCACTTTTTTATAAAATTTATATCATCATTGTGATAAAAATGATTTGACGCCATTTGTAATATTAAATTCATTACGTTTTTCCCGACATTTTCAATTCATGTATTTTTTTATTTGTATAGCCTGTTATTAAAACTGAAGTTATATTTAAATTAATACAAGTACAAGAATTGATATAATTGTTTGGGTATTTGTTACATTTTTAATTTAAAAGGGTAAGCTGGGTAAGGTAATTTAAAAGAGGAGGTCTTTACAGTGTCGTGCATTGGTGGACTTGACATGTCTTCTACATCATCATCATCATCATCATTTTCCTGCTCTCATCCCACCTAGGTGGGGTTAGCACAAAATGTGAATCATGTTGTAAGCGCTTTTGGCTATATTTTTCGACCGGCCGCCTGCCTGACGTCAATCCTCCATGGGAAACAAACCGGAACCTGTGCGTCACACAAACACTTACACAACACACTTTATGTTATATTATATCCCGTATAATCTGTATCTTCGACATATTTTTTTAATTCTTTTACTTTAGAAAATATGCATGTTTTTTCATGATTTTTCTTTCATCGCTGTGCATGAAAATCAGCACTTAAAATTGCAATTAACAATTTCATTGGTACCTTCAGCGAGATTTGCACTCAGTCTGTTCGAGTTTATTAAATTAAAAGCGCCTGGACACAGCGCTATCAGCTCTAAAGGTGACAGGTTAAAAGGGTAGCGAACTCGAAAACATACTTACTTGTAGATATATTATAGGTATTTGCGTATCTGTGTATCAATAAATAGATAAATTCATAAAATAGAATCCAACAAAAACGAATAAAATGTACAAGTGTAATAATATTAATGAAAATCGCAAATCGAATGTAACGCCGACTTTTTGTATAAATGTTGTAGAATGGTCTTCATGTTGAGGTTGTAAAAATGTATTACAGAAATTGAATGTAATCAATCCTCTTAAGCACGCTTAAGTGACTAAACTCGTATTGCATCGCGAATCCCCTGCATCGTGTATCGTTCGAATGTAAACAGTTATAATATATAAAAACAACAATAGATTTTAACGTTATCAAAAATAATTTCAAGTATTCACTTCCTTCACTCTTTATTTTTCAAATAACCGCTTAATTAATTATAAATTGATATAAAATTAGAGCAAATAGGTTATATTGTAAACCAGCAAATTTTCCATATATACAGGTTCAGTACATTCAAGTAGTTCATTACCTCACATAAGTTGTTACCACTCTCTAACTAGATTCTATGATAAAATGTTTAAGGGAATACAATAATCGCTTGGCAACTTTTCCCATAAAAAAAAAAAACAAAAAATAAATCAAGCTAGGATTTATTTTCCTAATTGTCCTTCTTTATTTTTGTTATAATATAATTATATTTATTAGTAGTTTATTAAAACCAGTTATAATTTAAATTAAGTTTGCTAAAATTTATACAATTTGCGCATTCCTGTGGCCAAGCAAATAGCCGATTGCAATGTGAAGCGATGTGGAAAGGAGATTTAATATCTAATTTGGAAAATGCCATCGCACATACGCAATCCGCCTATAGGTATACTGTCTGACGGTGGAGCGCGGGCCGTGTACTCTCATTAAAAGTTTCCTCAGGCTGGGCTTGCACGTGTTTTTAATTTTTATCGAGAGCACTCGTCGTTAGCGGAGGCGAGCGATGCGCGGCGCTGGGGCTCTGCGGCTTCGGATGCTTTGATTGCGGTAATGACGTCTCTTAGTCCCGCTTGCCTCTCCACTCGTTCCTACTCGCTATCTTCGAATAATTATTTCTTTACAAATTAATGCGTATATTTTTAATTGCTCGACTTGTATGTCGGTTTCAGTTTAAGTGCAGTCACGGAGATATGGTATGATTGCCCTTCGTGATTATTTTAAATGTCTAATTTTTGGTAGTCGCTAAATCAGAGTCGTATACTAAAAAAGAATTGTCATTTATATTGTTGAAATATTGTGTAACATTCCCTAAATTATTACATTCAGACATTTTTCTAAATCAAAGTGAAACAATATGTAGGTAGGTACCCACCCCATCCTAAGAGTTGAGCTGTATTGGTGGACAAGGTCCCTGGTGCATAGAGAAAAAAGCGGCCCGCACTCCCTCTTTCGACGTAGCTTAAACTTATATTGACCGATTGGCCCTCAAACTTATACATAGGGATAAGAAAAGAATATAGTGGTGTGAATTTATTCCTACTAGAAAAAGTCTATACGTAGGGTAGAATCCCTATGTGTTTAATGAAGGAAAATGGGAATAAGTAAACAAAGATGTACTTGATAGAGAAAAGAAATCCGGAAGACGTGGGTTCGATTCCTGTCCAAAAAAATGAAATTGTGTGAAATAGTAGCATTGTTTTACACATTTCCATAAGGTCACATTAAAGCACGCCAAATTGCAAAAGCTTAAGGAATACTAGAAAAAATATGATTATGAAACACTTTAAAAATTTAGCAAACAAGTACATTTCTTACTTTTAGACATCTCCAAAACTTGACGCAAGATGTGATCATATTTAGGAAGGAGTTGTACAATTGAAAGAAAATTTCCGTGGTTTCTTTCCTCACTCAAATCCTCTAGATGTCCACAAGTATAATATAATTTAAAAACTAAAAAACCGACTGCGTTTATATGTAATTTTTTATTTTGATATCCCCAGTGTTACTCCCACATTAAATACGAATCTAACGACACCTCTCAAGCTAAAATCCATCAAGGCGTTCAGGCTGCAAGGCGTGCCAAACAATTATATATACATACATACATAGTCTCGAAAAACATAAACCACTTTCTGGCGCAGTCGCGTAACAAGTAATTATGATGTCGAATGATCTTCAAATTCCTTGTAAATAGTCAGAGTCCCAAATACATATATATAGCTCGGGTAGAGATATATATATATATATATATATATATATATATATATATATATATATATATATATATATAAAAACGCACACACGCAACGGTTTAGGCAGTGCACAATAAGATAGCTCTCAGAGAGCAGGAATTCGACTCACTTACTAATCGTAATTTTATGGCCCATTTACACAAAACCTTGCATCAACTATTATCGTCCGTCCCAAAGGGCTCGATACATTAACGTCAATATCATACTTACAAGAGATCACATGCAAGGTAAAGGCAAATGAAAAAATAAAAAGTTGATGGGTGGAATTGATTTCACGACCATCAATATATATTGCTGATCCCATGTGCTACAAACGTACTGAGTCAAATTTTGTTTAAAATAGTACATGCTTATCAAAGACGCTTGGTGTGTATGTGTTGAAAGTCAGGTCAAGTCAGTCATTAGGAGTTTATTTAGTTAATGGACACAAGATTTTTTTATGTTAAATGAACTAACATAAAAAAATCTTGTGTCCATCTTCAAGGATTGTTTAATTCGAAAGCTAGCTGCTCCTTTCTTTTCAAGGATTGGACGACCCTCTGAGCTTCGGGGCCCTGGTGCATTGCACCACCTGCATCTACGATAGCTATGCCACTGGCGATATCTATGAGCATTCTGAACATTTTACTATTGAGATAGAGGTTATGTTATTTTTCTAAAGCTTGTACGGTTACATAAATATTAATATTAATTAAATATATTATATTAATTTATATATAATATTAATTTATTAACCTTCATTTTTTTCTGTGCATATTATGCAAAGTATTTCAGAGTAAAGAGGTGGAAAAATCAAAAAATAGTAAGTAACAGCCTATATAAGTCCCACTGCTGGGCTTAAGCCGCCTCACTGTAGACATTTATTATTCATGATGTGACCTCACATCGTTGTCCATGATGTTACCTCACTGCGGATTGGCAGACTTCACGTATAGTAATTTTTTTTGTTGTTCATTCGAAAATATTTTATTTACCTTACAATGTTTTCCTTCATCGCTAAGCATATGAATATTCCACACTTAAAATTAACAATTTCAATGATTCCGATACTGGGATTTATTCTCAGGTTGCTCGAGTATAGAGCTATATATAAAGTGAGTGCCCGGACACTAAGCTATCACGGCTCTTAGGGAAAATCAAAAGTACCATAAAAATAAAAAATAAACGTGCTGTAGAAAAGAAGAGATCTGGTTGAGCTGGAGCACTTTAAATTTAGTACGATAAATCAATTTAAAAGTGGTCAAAGATTTTATGATTTTTTTATTCATTTATAGCGAAATGCTCTGGATGTGTCTTATGAGGGGTTGATGCAGAATGAATCCAGGAAATCTCTTTATTTTTAAGGGATAAAGTGAATACAAATTTTATTTATCGCAGATATGACATTAATATCTTATAAATAAATAAGTATCGTAATTTACCATTTTAATTAATTCAAAGTATTTTAAACTTCCCTAAGGATTATAGCAGCGAAACGAATTGTTTTTTTTTTGAAAATGGCAAAATTGAATAAGCAATTAGAAGTCTTTTCGATAAAAGTCAAAGTCAGTCTGAAAGTGATAGTTGAAACGAACGAGCCTTAATCGAGGACTCAAGGGCCTTCTTTATTGCATTGAACAGCCAAATGCGGATATGAATGCTATCTAGGGAACGGGCGCGCGGTGCATCAGCCGGGGACGCACCAAATCCGCTTAGCACGGTCAGTGGCGCTGGCAGCCCGTTTGCCGTTGCAAAAGACCTTAATGGATTTTTCATGTCGATTGAACACGGCATAGGTATGCGTGCGAGATTACTGGAACGTTTAATAGACATTTCATAAATGCATATCTCAATCCGGCTGTTTTGGCGTTTTGGGAAGCAATTTTTTTTTATTCAATTGCTTATTGTCCGAAACATTTGCAAACGTTTTTGATCATCGACATGGAATATCCATATGCAGTGAACAATGATTTGCCTTTGGCTGAGGGGAGAGTTATATTGTTTGCTGTCAGTTAGCAATTAATTATCGTTAAAGCTAATATGGGTTGCGGGTGTATTTTGATCCGATGAAGGTGCAAGTGGAATTTTGATGCTAATCATATAACTAATCACCTTTTGTACATCACAGAACTAACAAAATAGTTCCTTTCTTTAATAATAAAGGTACGTTTATAAAATACAAGAATTTGCATTATCATAATTATGCTTTTATTTTAGTTTTGCCGTTACAAATGAACAACATTGTAATTTAAATTATGAAATAAGAATAAATCAATGATATAATAAAGTAATAAATATTTTCGGACACATTGTTAAACGTTGTCTAGTCCCAAACTAAGCAACGCTTTTACTGTGGGTACTAGAAAAGTGATAAACATACTTAAACATAATTTTCTTTTGTAAATACATACATAATATTATACATATATAAACAGCCAGATGTTGGAAAGACACTATGTTCATCACAAAATATTTTTACAGTAGTGAGGATCGAACCCACATCCTCTGGCACTAGAGGCAGGTTCACTACTCCCCAATCCTATCGTGTCGTCAAGTATTGTTTTAAGTTTTTCATATGTCGTCTAAAACATAAATTAGCACTGTAAATAGCAACAACTAATTTGTTCTAGAGTTATTATACATTTATTTTAGGTTAGCAATAATCGATAATCTTATATATAAAAATGGATTGCTGTTCGTTAGTCTCGCTAAAAATGGAGACGGCTGGACCGATTTGGCTAATTTTGGTTTTGAAATATTTGTGGCAGTCCAGGGAAGGTTTAAACCAGGGGTTAGCAACCTTTTTAATCAATGGGCCAATTTAAATTTAAAATTTTTTTGGCGGGCCGCACATAATAATTTACGAAACTTTATTTATAATAAATATTAGAATAAAAAAATTTAAAATAAAAAAAAATAAAGATTTCATATACAAATTTTAATGCAAGGTAAAAACAAATAAGAAAAGAAAAGAAAAACGAACAAAAAATATTTCGGTTCAGTATATACTATCATTTTATTATAATTAATTTTATAACAATATATTGATGGGAGAAATTATGGGTTAGCCGCAAGCGGCCCGCGGGCTGCGCGTTGCTCATCCTTGGTTTAAACGATGAAAAATTTTGGAAAAATTGCATGAAAAATCGAAATAGCAACAATTTTATTTTCCCATACAAACTGTACCTGTTAACCTGTCAACTAATTCTGTGTAATTTTTATGGCAAAACAACGTTTGCCATATAATTAATTCGAATAAACGTATTCGAATACGCGAATGTTATGGAAAGAATATATTGCAATGTCATGTTATAAATTGTAATTACGGTATGTCCGTTAGTGACATTATGAACGATTATGAAATCATTTTAGAAATTACAGTCCGCAGCCTCCGCCTCTTAGTTGCAGTTTCGCTTTCGGTTTCCTGATAATTCATGCACGTCGGAAACTTCCCGCCCGGTGATTATAGCGCGCAACAAAACCGCAGGGCGCCCTTAATGTGATAATTGTCGCCTTCGGGTAACTGCACCAATTAATAGTACTCGTATCGTGTTACCGCACCAGGTAATATAACCTTTAGGTTTGAACAGACTGTAGTAGTAGTACAGAGGCAGTTAGTCGTCATGTCGACGGCGACCCTGCCGGTGGTCATTGCATTAATTGTTTTCGCCCACGGTGCAAAGGAGAAGCCTGTAAGATAATTTTTTTTTATATCAGAAGGTGGCAAGTGAGCGGTTCACCTGATGTTAAGTGATAACCACCGCCTATGGACTGTTGCAGACGCGATGCCATCTATTAATTAAGTGGGCCCACTTAATTAAAAGGTGACATCGCGACTTCATAGTCGCATTGTGCCATATGGACCCATTGTATGTGAAATATTCAAAGCTCGCATTAATTTAAAAGTTTCAATCATTGCATACCCTGACATTCCAGTAAAAATTCCCCAAAATACAGAAGTAAATTGTTAATGATAACTTTAACTCATTGATAATTTTATTGCTTTCAGCACCATCTATTGATGTTTTTGCCATCATTAATGACTACTATGACTCGTGGCTTTTGGTATTTATTGAGCTGTGTGTGCCATCTATTGATGTAATAAGTCGATATTATCTGACCGTTGTTTTTTTACCATGAATCACGATGAAAACTTTCAGAAATATTAGGTCCTTACATATGAAATTAGCGTTTTGATCTGACCACTTTGATCTGAAATATCTCCTCTTTGGTTAAGAAGTCCAAATTAAAATTTATAAAATGTACCAGCGAAATGATTTATAAATTTATAAAATTTATAAATCATTTCGCTGGTACATTTGAGTCATTCAATTGTTTCTTTCTTATTAGTTTATTCTTTGGCGTCGCTTATTACCAACAACAATGGAAAATATGAAATATAGGTATATTTACGAGTACGACTTCTTCGAACTTCCGTGGCACCAGTGCTGCGAAGGATTAATGATGTGAATGGCGCTGATGTCGCAAACATTTTTGGTTTCAACGTTTTCGTTCTGGAAATTACGACCTTCAGAATCAACTCCGTAAGCGGCCGGAGACCAAAGTGGAAAATGAAGAATTAAAGGCTACTGTGGAAGCGGATTCATCACAAAGCACTTCAGAGATAGCTGCAGCTTTCGGGGTAAGTGATAAAACTGTAACCACTTGAAGCAAATCGGCAAAGTAAAAAAACTTGAACGATGGGTACTCATGAATTGAGTGAATCGAACTTGCAAACACGCGTCGACTGCTGTATTACTTTGCTCAACCGACACAATAATGAAGGGATTTTAAATCAAACCGTTACTTATGATGATAAGTGGATGCTGTACGACATATAGAAGCGCTCGTCGCAATGGCTGAACCCTGGAGACCCAGCCAAATCCCTAAACGAAAATTGACTCAGAAAAAGTTACTTCTGAGTGTTTGGCGGACTAGCGCCGGTGTCTTTCACTACAGCTTTCTTAAATCTGGCCAAACCATTACGACAGATATCTTTAGTCAGCAACTGCAAACTATGAAGGAAGAAATAGCTGCTAAACAAACCGAGATTGGTCATTCGCTCTAGGCCACTGCTGCTTCACGACAACGCAAGACCACTAAGTTAGATGAGCTACAATTGGAATGTCTGCGACATCCAGCGTACTCCCCGGACCTGGCTCCAACAGATTACCATTTTCCGGAATTTGGACAACTTCTTACAAGGAAAAAAATTCAACTTCGATGCGGCAGTCCAAACCGCCTTCAAAGAGTTTATTGATTCTCGCCCCCATGGATTTTTTAGTAAAGGGATCAATGAACTAACTATGAGATAGCAAATGCGCATAGATAACAACTGTGCATACTTTGATTAATTAAGTATATTTTACAAAAAAAATTAGCTTTATATTCCTCCCGTACAAAACGCCAATTTCATATGTTAGGACCTAGGACGCGTTTCGAGGCATACTTACGCGTCTCTGTCGTGCATCCCGTCAATTTTAAGTAGTCGTCAAAGTATCGCTTAATTGTTGACTAAATGAAATGTCATTCATTCTGCATTCAGTGGTTTTATCGTCATTTAGTTTCGTTTGTTTTTCTTGGCGCAAGTTATTGTCTGGTCCAATCTTATAATTATTATTTAGTTAATTACTTCAAAAAAGACTTAAAAACTAAGTTTTTTTTAGTGTAATATGTTTTTATAATAAACTTATCAAATTTGATTAATAATTCAAATTGTGAAACTTGCGATGATTAAAGTTCTACATTTAACAATAATGAACATAATGCATTTGTAATTATTATAATCCCGCCTAAATATTTGAAACTCAACGTTGGGTACTAGTTCTTGTGCTAATGATATACTACTGCGGCGCTAGCAGTAAAATGTTAAGGGTCAATTTTTATGTATGGAGTTCTTTCTTCTCCGAATATGTGTTCCGTGCAGGTATGCCGTTTAAATTAACTAATTTAGAATTTATTACTGAATTAATCACTTTATAATACGTAAATAATACAACATAAAACTGTATTACAAATTCAAATTAATTTTCACAAAGAAAATAACTTGCATAGCTCTGAAATTTTGTGAACGCCACTGGGTGAGAGAATGGTGCACTTCTCTCAATACCCCAGATCGAATCGTTTAAGCGTTTTTGATAAACTTTTTATTGGCGTTCATGAGGGAAGATCAGCAAATTGCAGTTGCCCTGTCTATGCGGAGAAATACCGGACTAAGAGTATAGTAGCTATATTACCAAACAGCACATTCCCTTCATTCAGAAGAGTCACTCATATTGACGAAAAATTGCTTTCGAGATATACTAATGCTACTTCAATATAAACTTTTAAAAAGGAACGAAAGTACGATGTTTTATAAAAAAAGCTACAGAGGCGTAAAGGCGAACTCTTCAGAACTTGGGAGATGGTACATATATTATGAGATACATGGTAGTTATACTAGATTGTATTGTTCGATATTTTTAAGTGTTTGTTGTTTTAAATTATTTGATATAATTGAGCAACCTGAGTTCAAATCCTGTTACCAATGGACGTGTTTCAATTCAGTATAATGTCGATTATTTATTTAATTTAATTCATTAATCATTTTACAGAGAAATCAATGAAGTTTATTAGTGTGAGAATTAATTTAACGTGTAGAATCTATGTAATATATATGAGTAGTTATATTTTAATATTTCGGCCTCGTCTCTTATCAAGCTGTTCTGACAATACGTTAATGTATCGCGTAGTAAACCTCCAAAGGCATTCAGAGATACTTTAACAAAGTCAATTTTTCACATGAGGCGGACGTGTCACGTGCTTTATGAAATGTTTTAGTGCGTAGTGTGAGTTAGGTGAGGGTTGAAGGATGAGTGACGGTATGGGAACACAGGCGAGACATTATTGCTCAGCGTCGTCTCCGAATACTAAATGCAGGGGTGATGCGCCTCAAAGTTTCCGTTGCCACCGTCTCTCGTCTCCAATAATGCACGTTAGCCTTTACTTATAACACAAATTTTACAAATAATGAATTAAAATTAATTAAACAATAATTCGCTTTGTTATTGAACTTGTTAATATTTTGGAAATGGAAATGAAAAAGTCACGTTGCGCAATTTAAAATGGGGAAAAATTCATTGGTTAGCAGCACCGAAATATTAATTAGTTTGTTGGTTGACGTTGGTAGACGTTGGTTAAAATTTTGATGTCATTTGGTTTTCTAATATTTGATCTCTATAAAACTTTTTGGTTGTTTGATAGTAAGTACTTTTATCGCGCATTTTCAATTTTCAATTATAAGATACAATTGAACTAAATTATTGTTATGGGTTAGTTTTCAGATTTGCTATCTATTCGTACTATAATTTAACTCGTTTCATTTATTTTTTATTAATTTATACCCGATATATGTGGAGGTATAAGAGCGGAATGAATTAGAAGTTGATATTAAAAACGTATGCATAATATATTACAAAATTTGACATCTGATATATTTTTGTCGGTGAATATGAACTAGTAATAATAGTAATATTCTCAGACGACAATGGAAACAAGATCACACCGTTTAAATTAATATTTAACGTTATGATACAACTTGATGCGCATTGGGTTGGTCCCCGCGGAATCCCGACTTAATAATTTTTCTTTGAGAATGTTATCTCATTTTTAATATTGAAGCGACTGCTTCGTCTCGCGCTTTGCACAAAGGTAACGTATGTAGATCACGGTTAGGCAGACTAAGGGACTGAATAATGAAACTACATTAAGTAGACGTACGAGTCATTTTTAGGGTTTCTAAGCGTGGATTATCAGACTCCGATTCGCGTTAAAAAATGATATAATAAAGGGTTTTTAAGAATCGATTTTGTTACAGAGAATTTACAAAATCTAAACGAATATTTATAGAAGAGAAAAGCTGAAAGAAAAGCGGTTCACTTGAGTTCAGTGATTATCACCACACATAACTGTAGTAGGGCTACGCAACAGTGTTCACGGTTCCACGAATGGGCAGGTCCGTCCGGGTAAGTACTACGACCCGCAGAAGACCGGCGTAAAGTAGAAGTTTACACTTCTGCGTTTCATCTGGTGAGTGACGTAGCCGGATCCACTTTATTTAAACGTCGCAACGCATTTGCAACCCTACGAGTGTTGCAAATGTCCATGGCGGTTATCACTTAACATCAGGTGAACCGCCAGCTCGTTTGCAACTTTCTCGCATAAAAAAAATCAGAACATCTTAAAAGAGAGGGCCTCTTGAAAGAAATGTCACACAAGGCAAATTGCTAAAGTATAATTAATTTTACTTTACCACGGTCCACTGTTAAGCCATAATATGACCCTCGATGGGAAGGTACTTTCATTTGAAACCATAATATATGCCTTGGCAAAATTAAGATACAAAAGTATTTGAAATGAACATTAAAGAATAATAATTTAATGGAAATATTTTAAAGACGAAAACGCTCCGACGTTACGTATTACGGTGAGCAGAAATTTCCTTTTGTTAAAAGTTATATTTGCAGGAACTCAGTGAGGACATCCAAGAAATAATCCGGCACGTTCACAACGAGTGCGTTGGTAAGATCGGGGTTGCTGAGGGTGAGTTCGCTACAGAGAATTTTATTTCCGTTTACCTTTGTTCTGAACTCGCATGCGAATGACGTGAAGCATTCATTGCGCGTAAGCTTCCCACTATGCTGTCGTAAAATCAATTTTCTTTTACAACTTCACCATCAAAGAGTTAATTTCCAATTGCGTATTTGATTTATTTGTAAGTGGTGTTTATGCGCAAGATTACATACTAAAGAATTTAGAAAATAATTAAAAATTAAAGCATTGCGATTAAACCAGGCCATTAGTTTAGATAATTTATTGTCCTTTTTATGTCTTTAACTTTTTTATCAATAATGTAGTAATTATTGCTATAATGTTGTTTTTAGGTTTTTTCACGAACATAGCTACATTTGATTCTCGCCTAAATAAAACATGCAATATGTAACATATGTCCCACTCATCATCAATAATTACATATTTATAAAACATGCAATATGTAACATATGTCCCACTCATCATCAATAATTACATATTTAAATCATTACATCTAATAATATTTTAAACATTGTGCCTAAAATCCTCCATCATTCAGCATGCAATTACTAATCAGGATTACAATTCCTATATTATGTGAATACATTTAAAAATATTTAAATGTCACTTGTGTGTTTTATACAACTTTTGTTTACGAATACATTTCTCATATTTCGGTACCGTAAAGAGTCCTTATTCTTACTTGTCCCCAGAGGATATAACGAATTGCGAAAACGGCATATTTAAGGAGGACACTAAGTTGAAGTGCTACATGTACTGTTTGCTGGAAGAGGTCAGCCTCGTAAGTCCTTTCATTAGCCAAATTTTATAACCCTGTCTAATTACCGTTGTTTTATATTTTAGTACTTGTTTGTTATTATAACTCGATATGTCATCTTAGCCCCTCTAGTAATAGTCAAATTATAGTTTTAGTTTCTCAAATATGTAAATATATATGCAGAAACTGAGCTTTCATAATCTGATAGAAACTTCTTTTCCTCATTTTCACATGTTAAGACTTAAGTCGCTGTTCCATTTGTTCACTAAACATTTTTTTCTTTGATGGTATATTATGAGGTAAAAAAAATAAAAATATAGATATGGCGTATCCATATGTTCCATATTTTTACTATAGGGAACGTAAACATGTCTATGTGTTTACGAATCCTGAAGATTGGATTACGTTTCACGATTCTACGAACCTAATGATGAATTTGATTTTAAAGCTATGTGATATAAAACCCTAGGTGGATGACGCTGGCAATGTGGATTATGAAATGATGGTGAGCTTAATACCAGAGCAGTATTATGAAAGGGTTCGCAAAATGGTGTTTTCGTGCAAATATTTAGGCGAGTAACAATTTAACAATTTATTATTAACTAGCTGATACCCGCGACTTCATATGCGTTGCTTATTATAATGCTTTTTTATGTACCGAGTAAAACTCTTTAAACGCGTAGTGTTTGCTTCCTGTCTTGAGCATCTCCCCTTTTATTTACATAGGAAACTATTAATAAATCTCTGCAAGACGTATATCCTGTTATTGACACAAAATAATTTTATACCCAATTTATTTTATAGATACACCGGATAAGGATAAATGTCAAAGAGCATTCGATGTTCATAAATGTTCTTACGAAAAAGACCCTAATGTAAGTTTTACTATATAATTATTATTTCTTAAGAACCTAGATTATTATTTTATGGTACAAAGTTATCTTCATGAATCGTGGATTATTATTAGTTTTTATAATTTTGGTAAGTTAAAAGAAAAACGATAGTGAACGCATACTACTTTGACATAATATGTGAAAATCATAGATAAGACATATTGTATTACTGATGAAAGACATATGAATGGTGAAAACGAAACATAAAATGTCACGTCTGCCACCAAAAGGAATACTCGGAGGTGAATAAGTTACGACGTTCCGCCTAAATACACGAATAAATCTGCGTCGTTTATAGTACCCATAGTACTTTTTACGCTGCGCGCTCTGTATATCGCAATCTAATAAACAACCGTCTATTTAGGGTGTCTTCTAGCAATTTTTAATAAAATAAGGTTTATAATATTATTTTTTTGCGTTCTCAACTTTGTTTAGGATAAAATGATATAAATATCTGACATGGTATTAAATATACCAATAGATGCAAAGAAATCTAATGAATCGGTGTCGCAATTGCTAAGCTTTGATTCTCAAACGGGACAGGTATTTGTATGACCCACATATAATTGTTGCAAATCGGGGTGTTTATTCCCAAGCAGGGTTAACGTTAGGCAGGCGGCCTTTCATAAATAACTTATCCGACAGCATTACATGTTGATTCACATTGTTCCGACCCCACCTGTTTAAGGAAAGAAGGGGATGAGATGATGATCGTAACAAATCTGTTCTATCATAAATTATTTTAATCTTATTATTGGCTTAAAAATTTAAAGAAAGTATAAACAGTAATTTGTAGAAAGCAATATTTTGTATGAAATAAATATATTTATACAGTTATTTCGTAGACATTAATGAATTATCATAAGCTTTGATTAATCAAAATTTGTACATCATGTTTGCGATCAGTTTGGGTGTTTCTGCATATATTCAATATTATCTGTAAACATTAAAAAAAAATTAATTGTCTTCCATTTGAGTGTCATATTTTTAAATTGGTTATTATTAAGATTCAGTTATGCGAATAACCAACACTATGGTTTGTTGAACGCGATAATTGATAAGGGAACTTTCAATGCGGTTTGATTGTATATGAATTCAATGTAGTATTCAATGTTAGTTAGTGCAAATGTGATATATTCCTTCTGATAAGTTTATTTATATTTATGTATATATTTTATTTTATATTTTTATGTTAAAAAAATGTACGGTAAGGCATTTTGGGTTACATAGGGTTCAAAAAAGAAAAATATTTAAAAGTTTAGAATAGACCCGAATGGCGTAGTGGGTAGTGTACCTGCCTCCTGCACTATAGGGTGTGGGTTCGATCCCTACTACTGGAAAAACATTGTGTGATAAACATAGTGTTTTTCTAGAGTCTGGGTGTCTATATACGTATAATATGTATTTATTTACAAAAGGAAAGTATGTTTTAGTATGTTTATAAAAAAAGAAAAAAAGAAGAAAAAAAGAGAAAAAAGAAAGAAAATAAATTAAATAAAAAAAAATAATAATAAAAAAACAATAAATATGAACTCACTGCTGCACCGTTACCAGCCCGGTTGATGTACGCAGCGGTGACTGCCCAAAAAGAAAATAAAAAAAAAAGCATGTTAATCAAAAAAAGAGCACGGACCACGAGTCTGTAGAGTAACTTTGTTAAAAAAAAAAGAATAAAAAAGTATGTTTGTCAGTTACCTAGCCACGGAAACGTCCCATTTGGGATGTTTTCGTGGTAAAAAAGTAAGAGACAGCAAATAAATTTAATACGGGGATGAAAAATAAGGATGCACCTCAAGATTTTTTTTTACATTGACGCTCAGAAACACTTGCCGTCCTCGTTTATTATTGTTTTTTTACGCTATACTTTTTATACCGGTCGAATGAAACGCAATCTTTTTGGCACACTTTCGACCGGTGATTTTGTGTGCGTATTGCTATAGTATAAAATGTCATTGTTTAATAGTATAAGTTAAGGTAATAGTTATAAATTTTCTTTTAAAAATCTTAACGTTAAATGACAACCGAAAAAAAAATTAAGCAAACATAAAATTTAATTTTTGTTTCAGTTCTATTTCTTATTCTAAACTTCTATGGATAAAGCTGACGAGTGGAGCTAATCTATATTTCTAAAATAAAATAAAATTTAATAAAGTTATAAAGTATCTTAAGACTTTTATTCCGATGTACATTTATTTATTATTTATGTTTACAGCAGGATTAATTCTTCCCGAATTAATTATCAAACTATTAAAAAAATATTTAAACAGTATTCTTTATCTGCGAAATCACTTGACGATGTTTAACCTACCTTAAGAAAAAAAAAAACAGTAAGTACTTGTAAATAACGACGTAATTTGGCGTTAGCCGCGGGCCCTCGACTCGTCTATTTTTTATGAAATCTTGGCCAAGTTTATTCAGATTTTGAAAGAAGTATAATGCTGAGGAATTAATTTGCTTCACGAAAAATAATTTCTTCGCGGAAAAAAAATGAGTTCCAATGTTATAAAACGTGTAATTGTGATCTTTAGTGAAATGAAATTCAAAGAAACTCCCTCACCGAGAAGTAATTTTAAAAATCCATTCATTTTGTTTGCTTTTGTAACTTGAGAGTGTACTTAGGAGATCTAAAATATTGAAGTTGGAAATTAATATACTTCACTTAAATTGGTGACTCATGACAGATTACCTTTCCTTTATTTGGTTTAAGATTACAATATAATATCGTTAACATTTGATTGATATAAATCGAAAAATATTTTTTCTTAACATCATAATAGGTTGGGGAAAAAGTTTCTTCGCATTTTATAGGAAAATTCAAAACATTTTTAATAAAGTTTATTTACATTTAACTAAAGTATGTAGGTGCCATTTTATTCGATAACTTTCTGCCATCTTGTCATGATCCCATTGCTATAGAAATGCAGGGGCTTCTGATCAAAAAACCGCGACATGTGGTTTTGTCAGTCCTCTCGTGATGTTAACCTGACACTGCCTAAAGAATCCTGAAGAGACCGAAACAAGTAGAAATCTGAGGGTGCAAGTTCAGGACTAAACGGCGGATGCATCAACACCTCCCAGTCAAACTCTCTTAATTTTTGCTAAAGTGTCTAAAGATGTGTGAGGTCAAGCGTTATCATGACGAAAAACCATACCCCTTCTGTTGATTAATTTCGGCTGGCTGAGAGAACTCAACTTCTTGCTTTAATCTTATCAGCCTGACCAGCCTTTGACCACGACCTTTTTCGCACGTTCCTGTCGTACGTGATCCACTTTTCATCACCAGTCATCAGGTTTTTCAAAAACGATTCGGTTTCATTACGTCGTAATAAAGAATCACGAATGAGTATACGGTTCATTAGGTTTCTTTCAGTGAGCTCATGAGGCACCCAAATATCGAGCTTATTTGTGTACCCAGCTTTTTTCAAATGCGCTAAAACTGTTTTGTGGTCAATTCCCAGATCTTCAGCTACATCGAAACTACTAATATGCCGATCTTGCTCTACTTTTTCAATAATGGCATCCATTTTATCCGTAACAGGGCGCCCAGAGCGAGGTGCATGTTTGACATCAAAATTTCCGGATTGAAAACGCTTAAACCAAATTTGTGCTACTCTCACAGACACTGCACTAGGTCCATAAATATCACAAATTTTTTTCGCGGCTTGCGTTGCATTTTTACCTTTTTTGTAGTAAAATTTTTAAATGTATCGAATTTCTTCATTAGAATCACTCATCTTAACAGTAAGAAAAACAAATGAAAATTACACAACCATACATACCAAACCAGCCAGATACAAATGATATAGCCAAAGAGAGTATATTATAAGCACATACATACTATGTGCGAAAAGAGTTTTTCCCCGACCTAATATATTGAAAATTACATCAAATTTTATAATTTACTGATAATAACATTTTTGGAAATTGTATACAGGTATCACGCTTTGTTTATATTAATATGAAGATAGTAGAGAATTAAATTTACTTTCTTTAATTTCAGTGTAACTTTCTTTAAAAAGTATAAGTAGTAGGATGAAGGCGTATACGAACTTAAAGATCCAAATTACAATAGAAAAGCACGTTATTTAACAGCAAAATGACATTCAAAAGACGGAAAAACCGAGGGTCGGAACATCTGCACATAAAGAGGCAATTTGGAGATTGCCAGGGGCGCGCAACTGCCACCGAGAATTGTACTCGATGTATTCAAAATTTTTAAAGAAAAAACGGAGAAAATATTGTAAGGAATTCATTGCGGTAAAATAAACAGGAGTGGCTTGTTACTGTGGACAGTACGCGCACCGGGACGGAAGGAACGGGAGTTGTCTCTTATGTAATTGAGTGCACGGAAATTTTGAAATAAGTTGAAATAAGCTGTTTCTTACCTTAAATCACTCCACCATTAATGCGGAAATTAGAATAAAATTATAATATAGTTTTAGACAATAGGAAAAGGTGCTTAAATGTGTGAACTCGTGGTAAAGAAGGGAGAAAAGGTGTTCCAGTAGTTTATCACTTGAAAACTTTTTAAAAATATTACTGTAAAATAAAAAAGCATCAAATAGCAATATCTAAATTTAAATACCTGTGGGATAGTCTGGATGCTCACTGCGGATGTCGCAATTTGGCGTCAAGCCGCAGTAATGACGTAGAACTCGTTGCTGGCTGGACAGCCGCGTACGTGGATTGGCTGCGCTAAGTATTCTTGTTCAAGATCCCGTTTGAGTATAAAAAAATTTGCCCCAACACTTTTGTCGTTTTTATGGATTTTGCGCGACACAGTTAAAGGTTAACATAAGAATTATGAGCAATAATTTATGGTTAATTGAACTTACCTTAAGTGAACTTCAACCATAATTATACTAGTTGCTGCATCCGTAGAGATTTAATAAACCATGTAGTCCGTTCTCTGTTGTACTGCATCATCACACGAATTTTAGAATATTTTATAAAAATAAATAAAAAGAAATGAAAAAACAGGATATCCGTTGACTAACATAGACAATGTTGGCTCCCAAGACTGGCCGAATGCTCATTCGTTTTTGAGCACACATACATACAGCAATACCTACTTCAGTCTGCAATTATTTGGGGAATTTTGTTCAGGGAAGGGTGGGTTCTTAAATCTCTACGGATGCAGCAACTAGTATAATTATGGTTGAAGTTCACTTAAGGTAAGTTCAATTAACCATAAATTATACTTCGTTGCTGCATCCTAGGAGATTTAATAAACCATGTAGATGTTTAGCGCTCAATTGCATAATGATACAAACAACGGATCATGAAAATAATCCAGTACATTACAATTATTCTCTATAGGACATATACCAGAAAATCACCTTATTTATTATGTATAACCATACCTCTATACTATGATCTACATGTCTACATCGAAATCGTCAGCGAAAGTTTTATCTCTTTGAATGTCTGGTAAACGTAAGTTACAGAAATTTTGCAAGGCAGAAGAAGGAGGAGCCGGTCCATCCGGCCGCGCGTTTTATCACGTCTAGAGACACAACAGCGTGATTAGCTGCCGATGTGGACGCTTGTCGCGTGATATGTGCTAAATGTATGTTTATATCAACACCCATATTCTTAAGGTATACTTGTTTAAACCCATGGGTTTTCGTTTGGGAACATGCTATTGGGATGGGTTTTTTAACAGTTATAAAAAAATTCTTTTATCGCAAGGCTCTTGCCTTATTTATGTAAGCCGATAGAGCTTTTGCTGGGCAACTGTCCGGCTGTTCTTCCCTACATAATATAAAACAAAGTCGCTATCCTGAATATAAAATTGACAAATGCAAATCAAAATTTGTATGCCGTGTTATATATACTGTTGAATATTGGATAGTGATTGGATCAATAGTAATATCAACAAAATAAATAGTAATATCTACGGTCTCATTAGCAAATTATTGTAGAATGAACACTTCTCGGATAACGTTATGCACTCCATGATAAGGCTGGGCCATAAAGGATGCCCCGTTCTGGAAAGAGAGAATCACATATTTTTGTTTGGCCCAAAGTATAATACTTTGGATCTAGTAAGAAACGTATAGCAGGAATCAAGTTTCATCAATCAATCAACTACCGTTATACCGGTCGCCTCTTACTTAATAATTTTTCCTAAGTATTTTTATATGATTGTAAAAGGAGGGAAAACATAGAATATAATAATATATTATTTAAATTTTCAAATCTCAGAGTAAATGGAGTAAATGTATATTCAAGGCATTTGGATCTCGTTTTCATGATACAAAATTTGATCACTTTTTATTCATTCGACACGCAAAGAGATACTTATTTTTGGTTGACTGGTAGAGAACACCTAATGGTGTTAAGTCCGGAATTGTACGTTTTATTTGCAAAAAATTTTTAAATAAAGAAATAAAATACTTCCTATAGGATTTGTGCACGAGTATAAACATATCGACCATTTTTATGTACTATTTTGTAGTATAAACTTATTCAGTGCTTTCAAATGAAGTATTAATCTATATGGACAGTTACTTTTCGAAATTAGGAAAAAAAATAGGTAAAATAAATTGAACCGCAATATGAGTACATTACTATAATTGATCCTAACTGTTTAAGTTTTTCGATCGAATTTGACATTTCCGTCTTAGAGCACGGTTATAACGTGATTACAAAAATTGAATTGGTGTTCCAGTGAACATTACTTTATAACCTATTAAGTTATAATATTTAGCCAATTGTGTACATAGTAATGATACTATGTACACAATTGGTTACTACCCGTCACTTTACATACTTGAGAACATCATGTATGTACGTACATATCCACCTATTTACGAATAAACATTCCACATGATGTCGGGGCTGTGGTGACACTCTTGAAGTACCGAGGTTTAGACTGGCTAAAACCAGAAAGTCATTTCTTGGTAGGTGCATCAACTTTTATAATAAAATAGGTGACATCCAGAAACAACCAAGTATAAACAATTTCAAACAATTTGTAAAAGCCAACCTAATGGCAAGGGCCTACTATAATGTCCAAGAATACATTGAGGACAAGGATGTGTGGAAATGACTCCTGCTCTGCACTTGCAAGACCTCTGGCTGCTGCTGATTTAATACCCAAATAAGTTTGTATAATTGCATCATAAAAGAAAAAAAAAAAAAAAAATAGCAAGCAGGACAAGACCGCAGAATTTATTGCCGGTTTTTCTCTGTATAGGTCTAGTTTAGTGAACCGGTGGTAGATTTTTTGTTGACGTTCAATAAGAGCTTAAGTCAAGCTTATATTGAATAAAGATACTTTGATTTTGACTTTGATATACGACCAGCGTGTGGTACCTCTAACGTCGTTTGCGCCGATGCTACGGTCGGCCCGGCTGGCGGCTGTCGACGGGGCGCATTCGGCGCAGCCGGCGGCAGTTGCGTATAGTAGCGAGATTGCGCACGGGGTGCGGCGCATCACCCCCTGCTCGCTCGGCTGACAGAGGGTCGCTCGGTACTTTCGCGATGTAGACGGTTGTGGGTGTACCGATTCTTCAATTGATTTGGTAACTTTAATGATTTTGCCTAAAGTATCACCAAAGATAAATTTTTCACGTTTCACGCCTTGGATTACATTAATATACTTTTATTCAACATTGGAATAATTAGCCGTCTACGATTCATTGTCTCTTCATAGAGTAGGATCTGACTTATCCCGGATATTTGTTTGATAATATCTATTTGACTGAGGTCCTTGGCTACTAGCTCTGCGATATCGGTACCTAGTCGGTTTTTGCATCTTTTATAAACGCCTTCGATCAATATTTTTCCCCAACGTTCAGAGATTTTTTGGCCTCTACAAGTACTACCTAGATGTCCAAAGGGAAAGCATTTTTCTCACCTTCAGTAGGGATAGTAGGCGCTTGCTGTTCGCCAACCTCTTCAAATGCATATTCCGGCAACGACACGCAAGGAGGCGTAGTTGTAGGCACTTAAACAACTGATTCTATCTGTTCAGTGTTCAGGAACATCCTCGTCGCTGGTGCCCACATTACTGCATCTCACGTCGTATGCTTTAAATTTTCCATCCTCGTAGGGGTCGTTAGCCAAATTTAGCCAGCTTCACATTTACATCTTGGATGACATCACGTGCCAGCACTTAAGAATGTAAGATAGTATTTCCGAATGACATCGCGTGCCACTACTTAGGAAATCGTTACTTAGCAATCCTTACTAATATTATAAACGCGAAATTTTGTATGTATGGATGGATGTTTGTTACTCTTTCATATAATAATACTACTGAATGGATTTTAATGAAACTTTACAATAATATAGCTTTTACAGCGGAACATATTTTATGTATATCTGTCTTTCTGTCTGAATCTTACGCCTTCAGCCTATTCTACGCAGACGTAGTCGCGGACAACAGCTAGTAATTTATAAAGTTAATTTGCTTTCTGAGTGACATCGCTTGCCATCAAATGAAGAAAGTAAAATCAAACAAAAAATCGATGATGTTTAATAATAAACATAACGCATGTCCATGCTGCGCGACGTTTCCAAATTGTTCCGCTTAACACTATATGACATATGTATGTCCAAATCTGTTGAAACCAAATTTAATCAGATTCCATATTTACATCTTGGGTGACATCACGTGTCAGCACTTAAGAATGTAAGGTAGAATTTCCGAATGACATCGCGTGCCATTACTTAGGAAATCGCTATTTAGCAATATATTATTTATTAAATTAACTTTTGCTTTCTGAGTGACATCCCTTGCCATCAAATTAAGAAGGTAAAATCAAACAAAACAATCGATGATGTTTAATAATAAAGATAACGTAGGTCTATACTGCACGACGTTTCAAAATTGTTCCGCTTAACATTATATGACATACATAATGTGTCCAAATCTGATGAAACAAAATTTAATCAGATTCACATTTACATCTTGGGTGACATCACGTGCCAGCACTTAAGATTTGTAAGGTAGCATTTCCGAATGACATCGCGTGCCACTACTTAGGAAATTGCTACTCGGCAATATAATATTTATTAAGTTAATTTTGCTTTCAGAGTGACATTGCGTGTCATCACATTAAGAAAGTAAAATTAAACAAACAATGATGTTTAATAATATAGATGGCGCATGTCCATACTGCGCGGCGATTAAAAAATTGTTCTGCTTAACATTAAATGACATATAAACAGATGATATGGAACGTAAAATACGGAAAGATAAAGAAGTCTATAGAATCACAATCCAATTACACCAATTGGTGTAATTTGAGTGCTTCGATTTCGGTGCGCTACTGTCATATCTAACTCCTATTTGTATATAATAATGGCAAACAACGATATCTCCGGGTGACATCGCGTGCCACCACATGTAATAAATATATTTTGAGTGGAATCGTCTTTTCTTAAAATTTATCACGTTAAACGTTAAAACAATATAATCTCGGTGGCGCGGTGTACTTACCCTCATTTACAAATTTATGTTGCGGTCGTTGACGAGACATTAACTCGTTTTCTAAACGCCTTATTTTGTTTTTAATCTCGTCGTCACTCTTCCATTTGTTCTTTTCCCCATTCTTCACTTTAAATTCACTTAAAACTAAATTATTTCACTATATGGAAAAAAAAATGTAAACGGCGCGCGCGCGGATGATGCAACACACGGAAAACGAATGAGCATTCGGCCAGTCATGGGAGCCAACATTGTCTATGTTAGTCAACGGATATCCTGTTTTTTCATTTCTTTTTTATTTATTTTTATAAAATATTTTAAAACTCGTGTGATGATGCAGTACAGCAGAGAACGGACTACATGGTTTATTAAATCTCCTAGGATGCAGCAACGAAGTATAAATAAAATTTATCGTTTAAAGAATTATAATTCGTTATAATTATTTGCTTGTTGAATAGAATATTAAGATATTACGCTCATTTATATTGGTTTTATAACTTCTCAATACGCGAGACATAATTTATATGTAAATACAACGGCGCTACGAAGTGCTACGGAAACCACTTGTAGTCCGTAGTAGGAAGCCGGCGGAGTGGCCGTGCGGCCACTGGTTCCTTCCTACAAATTATACACTGGCAACCTTGTTGAGGATAACTTCTAAATGTAATTGCTTAGAGTTCCGCAAATCGTTTGCATAGTACGTTATTTTGGTTTGCTTTTGATTACATCGCAATTTAAATGTACATTAAAATAACAGTTCAGAATAATTTAAGACCTTGGCTTCGATTTTTAGTTGATTGTGCTTTATGTTCGTGCTTCGATAACGTATGAAAAATACGTAAGAAGTGCAGTAATAACGTAACTTCTGAGTTATTTATAATAATTATCAGTGTATATTCGTTAATTAAATCTCATAAGTCGATCATTTACTATTTCGACTTGCTTACTCATATATAAATTAGTCTGGAAAAGGGGATGTATGTCAGTCGCTCGCGAACGTTAATAAAACCGAATACACATAAACGCACCCTGTTTCTCCGATACAGATTCAAGTTCCATGCGATGAGCGCAAAACTAGTTATGATATTTCCGTAATTTATTCGTTAAAGCCAAACAATTTATTTGCGTGGAACACGTTCGTGAAACAAGCCAATTATCCAAACAAATTGAGTTAGCGTCTGCCCGCGCCCGTCACGGTACCCGCTTCATAGTTCCCTTCAAAGGCGCCGTGTTGCTACTTCGGAAAGGTGTTTGTTTCGGAGGCGCGCCGCAAAATGAATATTGATGACTATGGGGGGCCGGAGATGATTCGCTGAAAAATTAGCTTCTTTTCATCGTTTTATTGCTCCGTGACGTTAGCGCTGGAAGCGACCGTGATGAAGACTAATATTGGCGTTAATTACACTTAGTGACGATAAACGGATAGATTTATTGCGCCCATTAAGTTGTACGCGCAATTAATAAGAAAAATTGTCGGGTATGATTTTTATAGCACACAATTTTGTTTAGTGGTACACTAAATTGTATTAAAAATTAGTATTTTCGTGGCAGTCAAGGCAGTAAGTAGTGGATCTGATAAATTCGATCTATCCTAAACTCACGTTGTACCGGTGTATGTACCGACTAGTTTCGGACTCATTGGAGGTTCTTCATCAGGGTGAGTGGCATTAGTTCGTGGCCGCGAACTCCGATGGGTCCGAAACTAGTCGGTACATACACCGGTATAACGTGAGTTTAGCCGTCTTATTATTAAATCAATCAATGTCTCACGAAAGTTTTAATAATTTTATCATTTTATCCAATTATTAGTCACAAGAATAGATTTTTGATAGGTATAGGCATAAATATTTGTATATAAAATTGAATGGGTAAGCTCGTCCGGGGAATTACCATGGACTCACAAAAAACCTGTGGAAAGTGGGATTATTATAATTTTGTTTTTCGTCTGGTGAGTGATGTAAACCAAGCCCACCTATTAATCTACTTATCTATTCTATTCCACTTTCACTCATTAAACTCGTTGGTGGCCGCAACTGGATTCCTACAACCCCAGATATGTCCACGCTTTCGTTCCATATTTATATTCCCTTATATCATACATTTTCATAATAAAGTTGGCTCGTGGTTTCGGAATAAAATTATATGAGCAGGTTTCAAGCAACGAGTCGAAATATGCAATAATGGACCCTTGGTTGTGGACACATCGCCGACGCGTGTCATCTTGGCGGGCTGTCCGGAAGACACAATTTATATGCAAATTGAACACAAGATACAAGCCAATGATACCGCCGCCCGTCGCAAGTTGAGAGCGACGCACCCCGTTTGTATTAACACTTCTAAAATTACTTTCGCACACTGAATACCGTACATATTGTTTATCGTATCTTTCTTTTGACTTGAGCGCGTAGACACGAAGAAAATTGTGGAATATCTCAGGATCTAGTTGATGTCTGCTAAATTACTGTAACATAAAAATGGAATGGGTTCCTTTTTGGATCACCTAGGAACATAAAAATTATTATTTACGAATTAAACAGGTCTTTTTGCAGGGATAGAACTGAATTCTACTATTGACAATAGTAAAATATAGTAAATTTTTCAACTGTAAGATATAATGGAATCGTTAAACATAATCGTTAATAACTGTGACAAAGTGTGTCACAAAAATAACTCGCATATTTTAAGCAATTGCAATTCCGCAAACCACCTGTTATTTATTTAAATTTTTCCTTTGCGTTCTTTGCTCTGGAAGGTAAATAATAGAAATATGGCTGTGTTAGCGTTTACCTTGCGGCGTTTTTAAAATTACTCGCCTCCTATTGAGGTCTTTCATTTTCTTTTTATCCATTTAAACGTTATGAGAGAAAGTTCTTTGATGTGTCATAATATATAACTTCTTAGGGGCCCCGTGTTTAATGCTTGTTTGCTCAGCAAGTAAAATAATATTATTAGTACAATAATATATTTGTCCTAACTTAACATCAATTACGTTATTGTAATTCTATTACGCAATCAGTAACT